AGCTACTGATAAATTTCAAAGTTTAAAAGATGGTGGATCTTGAATATCCTCTACCAGTGACAGGTACAGGATATTTTAAACATTTTACCCTGTACATTTTCAAATAAAAATATACAATTGATACTCTATTATATATATAGCCTCTTACCCATCATATACAGTAGTAAACTCTTGGTTTGTCTGTGGCCTAACTACAGGGAACAACTGACCCTAGGTAAAAAAATAAAAAAAGGGTAGAAACCTGTCTTTACATAAGACATTTGTTATTAATGACATTATTTGTCATTGTGTTGTGTTTGACTGTGCCATAAAACAAATTTCTCTGAGGGGACAATAAAGCTCGAATTGAATTGAATTGAAGACAATATTCAAATAAAAACCTGTGTGCTTTATGTTTTATTCATAACAACTGCATGTACGCTATAAGACATTAATGAATAGTCAAATTATTTAACAGGATCTGTTTGTCTTTATTTAAATAACATGTTGCCTGTTATGCAAATTTGTAACAATCTGTCTTTCCTCTCCTGCTGGCCAGGAGATTTTATTGCATTCAGGAGATATTGAGCTGGTTTGTCCCGGAATGAAAATGCATCTAGAGCTCTAGAACTGTGAAAGTGTGGTTCAGGTTCCCAGGACAGAAGTATCTTAATGTTCTGAAATTTGTTTGTGAGTATTAAATGTTGTTCATGTTTAAATCCTGGGTTACATGTGATATTAGATTCTCCAGATCTGTTACTGACAGTTTCTGTTACTGAGAGTGTTTTGACCCTCTGCTTCACTGTGTGGTAATGGCAACACTTCTGCCCAAGACAGGAAGCAGCCAGAGAGAGTAAAACTGCAGAGTTGCACTGTGTTCAGCAGCACAGTGTTTTGAGTCCTGGGCAGTTGTGTGCTCAGTATCTCAGTATTAAAGGATGCATTCCACTGTAATCAGTAGTGTTAGGTTGCTATGATGCAGTGTGTTCAGAATGGATGATGCTCAGTTTGTTTGATGAGCTACAGGGCCTGTCTTTAATGAAGTGAGCCTTAGGAAGAATGGAACTAAAATTTCTGGCCTGAACTGAATACAAGTTCCAGAATACTACCTTCAAAAAACCTTAACCTTCACACCTGTATCTGTCATGTCTGTACTTCCCAGGTTAGCACATGGTGATACAAAACAGCTCTTGTACTGCACACCGGAGAGGAGCACATCACAGCTGATGCAGGAAGAATGCTCACCGAGGTCTCTGCACTGTGGTTGTTGAATATGATGCGAGCAAAGGGGTCTGAAGTACCTGAGATGTCTCGTGGTGCAAGATCTCTGTGGAGGCAAAGCAAACAGCTGACTTTAGTCACAGCACTTCCAGAACACTATCAGGGTTTCAGGACCCTGGATAAACTCGCCAAAGATTATTGGAAATAAAATATTAATAGAAATAATGAGAATGCTGTTTTCAATGAAAGATATCAAAAATATAATGGAAATTGTACAAAAATAAAAAAAACCTTACTATAACATTGTAAGACCCTCAAACAAATTTATTGAGAATGTGTTGAAAGGACACTACTTCAGATTTAACAGCCTTAAACATCTTTAGCATTTGAGTTAGATTCATAGGTCAAGCAGCTCACAGCTGTGACACATGGATAATCACTCAATATTATTTTTCCTTGACACTTATTGATTGCAATTGTTTATTAAATATAGTAGAATACTATTTAGGCAGATTATCACATTACTACTCAAGGCCAAACATGTGACTGTTACACAAAGCCATTCTCCCTTAAGAAATCTTTCCTGTCTCCATAAAAGTTTTTAGTTTTTTGTTACTGAAAACGGTCTTTTCAACTTAGACAAAGCCTCTATGTGTTGCAGAGAATGCCAAGTTAAGTAGGCACAGATAGCTATAAATAAAACACTGAAATGTCATTGCAAATGAAGAAGTGAGCAAAGATGTATTTAACCACTGAGCTGTTTCAAATCAACCTACTCATTTGAACCACAAGGGGTGTGAGCTTCGGTGAATGTTGAGACACTGATTCAGCTTCAAACAAGAATCTCCAGGAAACACTCTTGAATGCATTTTACACTTGAGTCTCACCACATCTTATATGACACCATCCTAGAACCTAGCAGTGATCCCTAGTCTGCGGGTTTGTCCCTGAAACGAGCTGCTCAGGGACGCTTGGCTCTGGTTGCCCCCACCTCTACACTGAATGAAGCGATTCGAAAATGGCTGGATGGACGGACAGATAGTGAGTTCCACTCTGTTCTGGACAGCATGCTGGTGTTTAATGCCATTGCCTTAGCTGTAGAGCTTCCAGGCCAGGACACCTGTGTCCCTGATCTCCCTGTGTCTTCAGGTTTCTTTCCACCTCCCAAAGACACGCAGGTTTGTTCTAACGGGATATTTTAGGTAATCCTCCTCAGGGTTCATAAGCTGGTAAGTCCCTTTTGTTAACCGTACAAACATTCAGATCAGAATGCACAATACGTTGTCTCTCAGATACACATGGTGTGTGACAGAGGATGAAGAAGACCTTCTGCTTTTGCACCTGGCAACGTTTTGTTCAAAATCACTCTCTTAATAGAAGCCAAACAGCACCAGTGCTCCTCTACTGCTCCTACTACTAGCAATACTGAACAGCACGGTGGCAGTGACTTTGCATGAGTCCTCTGCCCTCATACCCTGTTTATAAAAATCAAGCCCTGTTGTAGCTGCAACAACAATAAGGGAGGACATGGAGAGTAGAAACACTGCACGAGCACAATATGTTATGTACTTTTGCTTTCTTCTGGAAAGACAAACTCTAATTCCAGCCAATTACCAGCTGTAGAGCATACACACATGCCTCTAGAACACGGTTTCCCAGAATGCTTCATTTAAACACACCATGACCATTTCTAGCTGCACCAAAGTGCTGCTCCCTCTTGGTTTACTGGAGCGTGTTGAGGGCTGTGCTCTGGCTTTCTTGTTTATATGGCCAGGCTGTGGTCCCGCTGACCAAGTGGGTTAAAGCCAAAAAAGGAAACAAAGTTTCAGCTGTCATATGAAGTCAGGCTATGAGTGCTTCTTTTCATATACAGTAGGCTGCAGAGATAAGCACATAGGATGGAAGGCTCACTTGCACTGCCTGATGCGCAGAGGATAATCAGGCCAGCTTTGTGCTCTCCCAACTCCTATCAGTGTTCAGCCAGGTGTGCGTGAGGCCTTGGGGAATCCCAGTACAGGACAGGATCTCAGTACAGGCCTTTATTTCATTCCAGAACCACAAGCAATCCATTGCATTTGGATTGTTTTATGTGGCAGTATATAGGGTATACAGTATCTGTTCACTGCAAATCAGTTCTCTTCTGATTATTGTATTACATGTCTCATCAGATGCAAGCTGACAATGAAATTACAATATTCCCTGGCATAGGTTTCATGCCTGAAGACATGTGAATGCTAAATTATGGTGTGGAGTTCTGTTATTCCTGACCTGTAGACCTTCAGTGATGAATAAATCCCAGCCTTCAGGAAAGCTTTCATTTAATAAGAGTTCTGCATTAACAGTACACACAACAGCGTTTTTAGCCTTTAACCTAGCAACTGCTGCCAAACGTCTGTGTCTGGCTCTGTATTCATAGTACTTTGGGCTTTCATTTGTCTGTCCACAAATTTATATCAATTGCATTTCCTAATGCACCATTAACATACACCTGGGTGTGCTTATAATCACAGGCCGCATTTTTACATTGATTTCACCCCATTTGATTGCAAAGGTTCAGCTATAATACTGGGTAATTTAGTTCAGGGCTAAATCTGTCAAAGCATTGCATTTAAAAGAATCCCACACAAGCACATTAGGGAGCATTGAGCAGAACAGTCTCAACTCTTGATTTCTATTTAAAATTCAGGTGATTGTTCATTATTTAAATTTCTTAAGAAAATTAAAAACCACCATTCAAGAAGAAATTTTTTATGTTGTTGGGGAAGAAAGTGTGATCTCTAAAGAAGATCTATTGCATAGGAATGGTTTTGAGCTTCTTCTGTCATAACTGAAGAAGCTGTCAGTTCTGTCATTTATTAATAATAATAATAAT